AGAAGCGCCACCTTTGGGTACCTTATATTGAGTCGACGGCTCAAGATGTCCATGCACAGGACGAATAGCAGCGCGGAAAGGCTATCACCTTGGAGAATTCCGCGTTCTGTTTTCTGCTCCATTATAGTTTCTCTATTGCTTTTTAATGTAACCGACCATCTGGAGGTGATGCTTCTCAGAAACCTGCTGATACAGGATGGCATGTTAAGCCTTTCAATGCACTTAGTCAGGTATTCATGATCAATGAATCGAACGCTTTTGATGTCATACCACGTAGTGTAAAGCTGGTTCCCGTGCTCTTTGCAAACCTAGTGGTTCAACACTGCTTGTTCCTTCGCACTTTGAACCTGAGTAACACTTTCTAATCGATTGTCTGCAAGCAGCTTATGGCAACATCTAACTGCATGACGCGTGGCACACATTTCATTGTTAACTTGTGAAGATTCGACTTTCCAGTTATTGGCTGCCTTTACTTGCGGCACCTTTTGAAATCAGGTAGGCAGTACTTTTATAAGACCACGGATCCTGTCCCTCCCCATCCAGACAAATCCTTCTTACTATTTTGTACAGGTCTGAATGCAAGGAGGTGCACTTCTTAATAAAGATCAGGCCCTGCCGCTTTTTCACTGGGCTAATAGTAGACTGACTTTCTTCCCAAACTCGGATTCAGAGGGAAAAGTATGATGCACTTCATCACTGAGAACAGATTCTTCAGATATTTCTTGTGTTGGATACCATCATACTTTTCCATTCTGTTCCACATCGTACCTCAAAAATTTCAGATTTCCTCAGTTCTTACACTGTGACTCACGAGCTATTCTTCGGTCAGACTTCTATAAAACCGTCTTCTGTATAGCTCGAATCTAGCGTTTTGTATTTTGAATGCGCATCACGTCTCGTAACTTTTTATTTTACTTTCGTAAACTCTCACACGGTCTGTCAATGTGCTTAACGCTTAATGACAGTCACACTTAGGAGCGAGTACGAGATTCATCTCCTTGATACACTTCTTAGCCCCTCTTTTAAGTCTTTGCCTCCCAGTACTCACCGGCCAAAATGCGTTCTATGAGGGATTTGTGGAAATTTAACAAGCTTATCTTCTTTTCTATGCTCGCTTTCCACTCCTATGGCTTCTTCTCTCGCCTTGTCATGTCTGCATAACATTGCTGTGCTGCCTGGAACTGCCTTGCAATATCAGTCATTGACTAGGGTGATTCTGTGTAGCATATTCACCCGCCGCTTCGTTCACTGCTCCAAGTATGAGCGGGTCCACGCTGTCCGATTTTATTTTACGCGTCCACTTTGTCTGATTTATCTCACGTCCCTGTGCCTCTTGCATCAGTACTAGATGTTTCTACTTCACATTTAGATAAACCTTAGGCTCGTGTAGCGTATTTTCTTCGAAGTTCGTATTTTGTAAATTGACGCGTTTCGTTGAGGAGTCAATCCTCCAAGAACCGTTTCTGTGAGCACGGACAACCTACAACACTGGTGATCACAGAATTCGCTTGCTTCTTCAGTTCTTCGAGGG